ATATTACCAGTATTGTAATTGGTATTATACTTTATTTTTGCAAGAGCGCAACAGAATAAATAAGATGAAATATAATGAAAATGACTAATTTATTTGCAGGAAAATACAGGAAGTGGCTCCATGTAAACAGCATTCATAGTCGTCTTATTGTTGTACTATTTACATATATATCTCTTATAGAGAATGTAAAACAAAGTTTTTTCTTGGTAAGACACATGTTTGGAGTCAATTAAAAACACAGATTTTATACATGCCACTTATATTGTGCATTCACAGCAGTCCCTAACCCATACAATCTAAGGTCCCTAACTTACATTCATACACATACTAGGGTAAATTTAGACAAGAGTCAATTAACCTACCAGCACTTTTGAAGTGCAGGAGGAAACTGCACGCAGGCACAGGGATAACATACAAACTGCAGGCAGGTGATGCCATGGTTGGGATTTGAACCAACAACCCCAGTGCTGCCAGGCAGAAGTACTAACCATTTAGGCACTGGGCTACCCTATATGGATATGTCTACAAACCCAGACCATCTGTACAGTTAATGTAGGCCCAAAAGTTACTAAGGCCCCTGGAGAGAGGCAAGAGAACCACATCCCAACCAAGCTGCTCTCACTGACTACATTATGCTTTATAGAATTATAGTGAGCTACTTGGTTTTGTAGCTTCTCCTCTAATCTTCAGGTATCAATCTTCAGAACAAAAACAGCAAGATATGCCAGAACAGATTCTTTTCTAATAGAGTCTTTACACCAGTGAGAGATATTTACGTGCTGTTTAACCTAAAATAACGTTGTTTTTATACCATCAGCAAAAGAAAGCAAGCCAAAAAAACAAAAACCTCTATCCAAAACAAAAAAGTTTTATCTAGATATACACTATGTGGCACAGCTGCTGGCCCTTTAAGCCACACAGCAGAACATCTTTCCCTGACCACAGATCATTGCACCCTCCCTGCAAGAACTTACAAAGCACATGGAGAGGCACAAATAAGGGTGCTAACTGGCTGCAGTCTGGATCATATCCCCCCCAGCAAAGGATAGAGAGAAGGACCATCCTTGCTCAGTGGACTATAGCTCTGCCCACTACTGCCAAGAATGAGGAAAAAGGAGGAGCAGTAGACAGCTTGATAAGGATCAAAAGATACCAGGGCTCTGATTAGCTGAATGTGCAACGTTGGAATTTGGCACTGCTCACTGAAGAAAGGAGAAAAGTGAGCTGCTGGGGAATGTAGTTCCTGGGCTGTGTTGACTACACCGCCCAGAGTGCACAGAGCTGGAGGAGGAGATGACAGTGTGCCACTGGGAGAGAAGAGGAAGAGCCATAAGGCTGGTGATAGCCTCCTGTGTGTTCAAACAGAGGTGCCAAGGAATGGCAGGGCAATAGCCCCAAAGAACAGTGGTGTATGTGTGCACAGTGCAGCTCATGGACCTGTGCATTGAATCAAGGTTGTGCTGCATCCATGCGTTAGTGTGAATTAGAATTCATATATGGCACTGATGTTTAATGCCCAGTGGTCTATTTAAATATAGCACCCTCATATATAGGTGCTAGTTTAGGTAAATTTAGTTACTGGCTCATTGTAATCAGTTGAGCTGCATGTTATTATTTTGGTCTGTTCTGTGTTTCACTGGCTGCAATGTTGACAGCTTCCCCTGACTATCTTGAAGGCTCTGGAGGATAGTGGGCTGGGAGAGTCAATATACATGTAGCCCTAGCCAATCCCTGGGAAGATGTGCCCATATGGTGATTAGAGGGAGCATAAATACTCTAAGACTTAGAGCAGAAGGGTTCTTGTCTTAGTTGAGGACATACAATCTTGTAGAGCTACTGCTCTCCTGGACATGCCTGCCATGTGTCTGCTGCTCATCGAGGTCCCAACTAGGCTAGCTGGGGGCCTATTCTGCTGAAATCCATTGAAGCTGACTGAGGGGCTGTCTTTGAGGATCTGGTCTGGGATCACAGGTGAAGTGTCTGTAAGATATTGGAAGGAGGCATCCAATTATCCAAGGACATTATTGAGTACAGACTGATGTCAGAGATCCCGGAGACTGCATGCTACTGCTCTCCCTCTTGCGCCAGTGTCAGCATTGCTCAAAGTGGACATTATCTATGGTGTCTTAGTATATCGCAGCCAATATTTGCTGCAAGCAAGGACTCAGAATTTTAGGAGGAAGATTAGTGTCCTGAAATTGCTGCATAAAGTGGCTAGAGTAGCCAACAGTTACTCTACTCCTATCCAAGTTCAGGTTCTGCAATAAAGCATCAGAAAAGCATACCTCTAGACTGTTCATTGAGCCAAACAAGTGACTGTGACTGTGTGCCTGTCTGCGGGTGCAACTGTGGGAAAAGACCGTAGGGAGTGACTACTACAGAAAGCAGAGCAGAACTAAGGAGAATTACTGAGTGGCATTCTGCTTTTGTGACTCATGACCAGACCTGCATCCCGTGGTCCTGTGTTTGACCTGGTTTGTCTCCTGTTTAATTATGCTCTCCTGTTGCTGACCTTGGCTTGTATGCTAACTTTGTCTTATGTCTGCTGTTTCTATATTTCCTCTAACTGCCTGGAATCAACCCTCGCCTGGCTTCTGACCCTGCTTCTGCCCTCCAAATTGGTACCTCTGTTGCCCTGTTGAGGCTGACTCTGGCTCAGCTTGACTAATCCATCTGCAATTTCTGTGCATCATTTGTGTGCTAGCATGCTGCACAAGTTCCATTCTGAGCATCCTCAGCATCCCAGCAGTATCAAGAATGTCAACTGAGCTCTCACTGTGTCATGACCTACCACAGGCAGCCATGACACTCATCTACCTGCTACACCCTGTTGCCAACTCCGGTGGGTATTGGACAGAAAGTGTAAGGGAAGCCCTCTCATCAGCTTGGCCTCTATCTGGTACATGGCAAGTGTCCAGAGCTGCAGGGAGGATTAAATGGAGGGAGAGGGAGAAGGTCACAGTTTCATCTAATGCTGAGGGGGGGGGGGGGGCTGTGTGTGTAACCCCTCACTGAGCCTTCAGAGGATAGATAAGGATAATCACCTGTGGTAAGAGGCCTCTTGGCCACCAGTTTTGTTAATAACTCTGGGCTTGCTACATCCTAAAATGACCACTACTACGGGAGATCCCAGGCCCCAATACCAGCATACTATATAAAGACCCCTGGCTAGTAATGTAGTTAGGGCCCACTGATCTTAGATAGGCCAAATAGTTAACTTTTTTGATCAACTGTTTTTGCTGTTTAGTCTAGAATGTGCCCGTACGTCACTGGATTTCAAGTGTATACCAGGGTGAAGCCTGCAGCCACACATACAATGTCAAATCAAAGGCAGTAATTCTAGCACTAGACCTCCTCTGTAAATCTAAAGTGGTAACCTATAAAAGCTTTTAATGCGTCAAAGAAAAGCAGTCACTCCCAGCACTCAGAAGTCCTCCATAGTGAGATAGGATTACATAACAGTGGACTATTATTATTATACAGGATTTATATAGCACCAACAGTTTGCGCAGCGCTTTACAATATAAGGGAGACAGTACAATTACAATACATTTTAGTACAGAAGGAATATGAGGGCCCTGCTCATGGAGCTTACAAATAGTGGATCCATAAACACCCAAAATGCCGGGCGGATGCAGCCCTCCACAGATGGGGGAATCCAATGTTAAACTACAAAAAAAACAAACAGGAAAGTGCAAGCACCTAGTGCATTATCAAAGTTTATTAGAGGGTGTAAAACTGATAAAAAAATGAATACTCATAAAAGTGCAACATGTGAAAGCATGTAAACCAGAAGACGCCTTGCAGTGCAGGAAACGTGCACTCTAACAAACACATAGTGGGGTGTTGCTACAGTACACGTAACCTGCACTGCAAGGCATCTTCTGGTTTACATGCTTTCACATGTTGCACTTATGTGAGTGTAGCACCTTCCTAGTTAGGTGCTAGGATTTGTATAGTTAGGTTAAGCATAGCTGTGTTTCTCTGATTAAAGCGAAGTTCCACCCAAAAGGGGAAGTTCCGTTTTAATGCTTTGTCCCCCGCTTCCCATTAAGGATTGGCAGCTTTTGGGAGCGGGGGGGATGCAAGTGGGTACCCGAATTTGACATTTACCCACTCCCACTTCTGCTGCAATCGCCTAGGCAATCAAAAGCAGAAGTTGTCCTCCCTCCCTGTAGTCATCTGGGACACGTGACAGGTCCCAGAAGACTATGGAGCCATTCACAAAGCGCAGGGTTTCTCACGCATGCTCAGTGGGCACCTGGCTGTGTAGCCGCAAGCTATTACAGCTGGATGCCCAAACTAAAGATGTTGGATCCAGGGAGAGAAGACGGCCGGTGAAACCAATGGTGGTGATGATACCGCTGGACCAAGGGACAGGTAAGTGGCTGTATTTTAAAAGTCAGCAGCTACGCTTTTTGTAGCTGCTGACTTTTTTTTTTTTTTTTTCTTCAGCTGGAACTCCTTTAACAGAGTTCTGTGGTGAATTAGTCAGGCATGCTCATGATACTCTGGTGCTGTTTGAATTTGTCTGAGTTCTGCCCTCCTTCAGGAAATTACAGTATGAGAGCCTTCCAGAACATGGGAAGGGACTAAGCAAATGAATGGCAAGAATATGGATACAATCCTGGCCAATTGCAGGGGAGGGTGTCCCAATTGCATGCTTGGGAGTGGTAATTATGTTCTGTGAGCACTTGAGTTCAGTGTCTTTACCTGGAGAAGATTGCACCAAGCCAGGCTGGAGGCAGGCTTGCCTCGCCTGGCACTTGTGGCCATGCCGGCCTCAGGTGAGTAACCTGAGGGCCTGAAGTTGGAGAGAGTGACCCTGCTTCTACAGTAAGCTGACCAAGGGGAGCTGTCTGCTAAAGATCTGTCTGGTATCACTGGAAACAGTCGCTTGGAAGATTGGAAGGAGGTTGTCATTCTGTCCTTGGGCTTGTGAGTACAGACACTGAGAGATCTTGGGGACTCTGTTTGCTCCAGGGGCGGACTGACAACTCATGGGGCCCCTGGGCAATAGGAGATCATGGGGCCCCTGTGTCCTTGCCCAAACTCAAAAAAGCCTATGAAAAAGGTACCAGTGGCATCTCATGGGGCCCCCTACTGACCCGGGCCCTTGGGCAGTGCCTGAGTTTCCAAATGGTCAGTCCACACCTGGTTTGCTCACTACCCTTCTGGTGCTTGATGGTCATCGTGGGTTTGAGAAAAAGAGAACACTACCTGGTATTCTTAAGAGCTTGTCCAACTGTTGCTACTGTATAGGACTTTACTCAGCTACATTACTTTTGGGCTGTCGCAGTCTGTCATAACTGGCTTGTACCCGGAGAGCTCAGGCCTGCTACTACTACTGCTAAAGAGAGTTTGCTCACTCATAAACTACTGGTTACTGCAGACTAAAGAGAAGTCTGCTATCTATTTTCAGCCAGAACTTCAACAGTGATCAACTAAGAGATCAGCTAAATGTCCTCAGTGTGAATAGTTATAATTTTGGTGTATCGTACTAAATTCCCTATCCCTATCCCCAGTTCTACAATAAAACTCCAAAAACAAACATTCCCTAGACTTGTCATTGAAGACAATGAGCGAAAGTGTGGTTGCAGCTGGATGTGGGAAAATACTTTGTGCCTGGCTACGTCGCGAAGAAAGGGGGAAACCTGAGCAAAAATACAAGCGGCTCCTCTGGGGGTAGCGCTACATGAGTATTCATTTTTTAGCAGTTGTAAACCCTTAAATAAACTTTCATAATGCACTAGGCGCTTCCACCTTCCTGTTTGTTCTTTTTGATTTTAAAGCATCACCTATGAATAGTAAAATTTATGTTGTTTGTTGCAGTTACATGGGCGTGCGCAATTTTATCTAATATTTAATTTTTTACAAAAAAATTGGGTTATGTATTGTGTTTTTTTGCACAAAAAAAAACACTCAAAGTGTATTTTTCCAAAACAATTGCAGTTAAAAAAAACTGCTGAGCAAATACTGCATGACATAAGAAAATGTAAAAATCACCAATTTATTCTTTAGGGCCTCTGCTTTAAAAATATGTAATGTTTGGGGGTTCCAAGACATTTTCTAGCAAAAATACTGATTTTAACGTGTAAACAAAAAGTGCCAGAAATTACCTGGAGCTGAAGCCTACTTTACCTACTGGTGTGCTGGCGGGTCATCACTGGGACAACAGAAGGACCATTGGTCCCTAAGGGGATAGTGCTACAACTATAAGCCCAATTCCTTGCACACATAAAGCGTATGCTTGGATGTGAAAGTCATTACTATATGAATACATAAAAATAGGCAGAAATGTACACAAATATAAGGAATAGCATAATAATATGGTCAATGGGAGCCATAATATAGGATAAAAGGTTTGAGGGACATTTCATACCAGTGTACAGGAAGGCATTTTCCTAGCTCAGTTTTTTTACATAGCACCTGAAAAATATGACTATAATTGTTTACTTTCATAGAGAAAATGATAAACTCTGCATAGTATAGCCTGGGGGAAATGTTCAGTTTTGGGCAGAAAACTGGCTGTGTGTCAGCACTGTTCTTGTCAGAGTGTTTGAGATGGAGAGCCTCAGGGCTGTATAGTACTAAAATCAATTTCACTGTTTACATTTTGTGTTTGTTGGTGAATATGTAAGGCATTTGTTTTGGCATAGGTGAAATTTGATACAGAAAACTTAGCAACCCTGAGTTTTTTAAACTAAATATACAACAGTAGATAGTAATTAAAAATGCATTAATAACCCCTTAGTACTGGCCATGCGTATATATGTGGCAGCATGCATACATCTGTTCATGTACAGTTGCAAGAAAAAGTATGTGAACCCCTTGGGATTACGTGAGTTTTGCATGAATTGGGCATAAAATGTGCTCTGAACGTCATCTATGTCACAACAATAGAAGAACACAGTCTGCTGAACATAATACTACACAAACATTAGATGTTGCCATGGTTTAATTGCACATAACATGTAAACATTCACAGTGCAGGGAGGAAAAAGTATGTGAACCTTTGGACTTAATAACTGGTTGTCCCTCCTTTGGCAGCAATAACCTCAACCAAACGTTTCCTGTAGTTGCAGATCAGACCTGCACAACGATCTGGAGTAATTTTGGACCACTCCTCTTCACAAAACTGTTTCAGTGTAGCAATATTCTTGGGATGTCTGGTGTGAATGTTTACATGTTATGTGCAATTAAACCATGGCAACATCTAATGTTTGTGTAGTATTATGTTCAGCAGACTGTGTTCTTCTATTGTTGTGACTTAGATGACGTTCAGAGCACATTTTATGCCCAACTCATGCAAAACTCCACGTAATCCCAAGGGGTTCACATACTTTTTCTTGCAACTGTATGTAGCTGGCATCCCTTGTTTGTGCTGGGAGCTGCCAGTCATTGTTTACAATAAAGAGTCATTGTGTGTTCCCATTCATGTGTTCACTATGACAGCCAATCACAGTGATCACATGACCAAGAAGATGCCATAGCTCCTCTGGTGTTATATCCTTTAGCGAATCAGCTTTTGCTCCCTGAAAAGGGTAAAGATTCTGTTTTTTTTTTAAAGGGGGCTATTAACATGCCCACAAATCAAAGATCTGGTCACTTATCTAGACTTCATATTCGCATTACACACAGCTCACTTCCCAGTGTCCATGTCATCAATGAGATCTACACTCCAGTACACTTCCTAGTATCCTTGTCACCAAACAAAGAGATCCACACCCAGCACACATAGCTCACGTCCCAGTTTCCAATGTCACCAAAGTGAATTGAACCTCTGTGCGCACAGCTCACTCCCAAGTATCCTTTTCACCAGTGAGATCTGCACTCCAGTACACACAGATAACTCCACATTCTCCAGTTTATGTGTAGTTCCCCACTCAGTAATTGTAAATCTTTGAGTTACTTAAGTTCCTTTATTCAAATCAGTATGAGGTTGCATGCACTTCTCTGTATTCACATCACCAGTGAGATCTGCACCCTACTGCATACAGCTCACTTCCCAGATTTCGAGTCACCAGTGAGATAGATCTGCACCCCAAGTCACACAGCTAATTTCCCAGCAGCCATGTGTATCATTAGCTTAATTTAAATTCTTCATATTAAAGTGGTTGTAAAGGCTAAATGTTTTTTTTCCCTTAATGCATATTCTGCATTAGGGTAAAAAAACATGGGAATGCAGGCCGCACATACTCCCTCCCCCGAATACTACTATCTATAAATAAATAAGGACACAAAACGCTTTGTTGGCATAAAATTTTGGCAGCGGCAATTCTATTGGTGTAAATAAATGAATACTCAAATAATATATAATATCTTTAAAATGTTCTTCTTAATTTTCTATAATACTGAACGTTAACATCGAAAACTGAACTGCTCAGTCATTGAGGACTCAGGCATAGCATAAATAAAATACAACACAAGCCCCACTAGCTAAACTTGTATTACAAGCCTGGCCTACCCCAAAAACGCAACCAGCTCAACACAATTTTGTAATCCCACATTGAAAATATCCTATGTCCGATAAGTGGATATAGTCTGACCGGTAAAGACCACTAAATCCATCTTCAAGATCCACATGTCAATAAGAAAAACCATTAATCAATGGCATACATTTTTCCATTGACTTATTCAGCCTTCTCCTAATCTTCTCTAATGCTTTAAATTGTGGGTACAACAACCATAACAGACGTGGAACTCTTTCGGAAAAAACTAATGTAGTGTTCCGGGCTATGAATCTGAAACAGTGTAAATCCCGCTTCATCATAAATAGCAATTCCAAAGTTTTAACTTTACCTAAGTCGTTTCCCTCAAGATGAATAATAACCAATACCCCTCACCTCACCCCTTCAGTCTCCACTCGCATTACTAACCTACTAAGTGACATATCGGCATGGATATCACTCCACTTCCTCAAACTCAATCTTTCCAAAACTGAGCTGAGTATTCCCTTCAGCCCGTGCCCCCTCGACTGACTTCTCCATCAAGATCAATAACACAATCATCAGTCCCTCCCCTCATGCCAGGGTACTAGGTGTAATCCTAGACTCCCATCTGTCCTTTCAGCCCCAAATCCAATCACTGTCCAAATCTTCACCGCTGCAAAATCACCAAGATACGCCCATTCCTAACCTCGGAAACCACTAAGCAACTTATTCCCTCCCTTGTTATATCTCGCCTTGACTATTGTAACTCCCTCCTCATTGGCCTACCTCATCGCAGGCTATCCCCTCTTCAGTCTATCATGAATGCTGCTGCCAGACTCATCCACCTTACTAACTGTTCTGTATCTTCCACCCCTCTCTGCCAATCCCTCCACTGGCTTCCCGTTGCCCAATGGTTACAATTCAAAACACTAACAATAACGTATAAAGCCATTTATAACTCTGCCCCAAATTACATCACCGATCTTGTCTCTAAATATCACCCAAACCGTACTCTCCGCTCATCACAAGACCTCCTACCAAGTTGTTTATCATTTCATCAAGGCCCATTCTAGCAGCTCCCGTGGCTGCACCTATTCTAAATGAATGAGAGGTAAATCTTAGATGCTGTAAACCTGCTAGTCTCAGGAACTTTGTAAACACCGAACTAAGCTAAGCTGGTATTTTGTAAGGGGGATAAATCAGAATGAATTAAAAATAAACCTTTATTTTCCATCCTCACCAACCAATAATTTTTAACTGACTCTAAAGGGCATTTGCTGCGATCTTTACAAGCATATACACTAATCCATCTGCCTCTACTAAATTGGTCTGTTTTTGATTTAGGAATAAACAGATGCACTCCATTGTCAAAAAGGACCACATGGTCAACTGCCAGCCGTTGTCTGGAGATTTTATTGCGTGGCAATAACGTGGCAATAACTCAGATATTTGTAGTGCTCCAAAGAATGCTAAAACAAAGGCAACTTTAAATAACGATGCTTCATATTTTGAAAAACATACGCTAGCAGTAGCTACATATATATTTTTTAAAATGGGGATCTACAGAGGTCTCCTACTATCTTTTGACATATGGAATTTTTTACATGCCTTAAGGGCCTGCTGAACCATAAAATAACTGGTACATGGGGGTTGATTGTTAAACTTTAGAAAACATGATACTCCGGCTAATAATTTTGTTATATGGCTATACGAATATTCTAAATGCATTTAATAACACAAAAAAGACAGAATAGCATTTTCAGAAGGAGAATCAAATTGGAAACCAAATTCTCTAGCGAATTCTTTCACCTTGCGAACGAATATTCAGTCCATGTACTGTGAGCTAAGGAATTTTTTTATCGAATCGAATATTACTGTCAAATCAATCTCCACAGGTGATCCAGCCAAGTAATGCCTTCTTAATCTGCATGGGCAGTAGTTGACAAAATCTTAACATCTGTAATCGAGATAACGCATCTGCAATTTGATTCTCCTTTCCTGGAATATACTTAGCCTTAATCCATATGTTAAAATGCAAACATAAGAAAACCAAGTGTCTTATAAATTTGATGACATATAACGATTTTGACGATAAGCAATTCACCGCATAAATTACCCCTTTATTGTGTGAATGTATGAGCATCCTTTTCTTTCTAAAATTTTCCCCCCACATTTCCAAAGCTACAACTAATGGGACCAATTCTAATAATACAATGTTTTTTTGTGGCTCTTTTAATTATCCACTCGATAGGACACACACCACCGCACCAGTGTGTTTGCCATATTGCTGCAAAACCTTTTGAACCCACTGCATCTGTGAACAGTTCAAAATCTATCTCCCTAACAAAGTCTTCTTGAAAAAATGACTTACCGTTGAATTTGTCAAGGAATTGAAACCACACACTAAGATCTTCCTTGAGATCCTATGTTAAACGTATGTGTGAAAATGGGGATTTTAACCCCGCTGTAGCTAAACACAAACGACGTGAAAAAATTCTACCATTTGGCATAATTCTGCACGTGCATATTAATAGGCCAAGCAAAGACTGCTCTTTTAACAATACTTTCTTTCGATGCAAAAAACATGTTATTAGGAATTTAAATTTTTCAGTTTTTTCCCTTGGTAATTGAAATTCCCTTATAACCGTATTGATGTGTCTTCCTAAAAATTTGATCTCCGAAGATGGTAAAACTGTTTTTTCCTTTGCTAATGGTACACCAAAAAGTTGTGTAATTTTGTAGAATAGCTGAAGCAAATCCTCACAGATTTATAAATTAGCTGGACCAATAAATAAAAAGTCGTTTAAATAATGTATAATGCCATCTATTTTTGATTCAAAATGAACCACCCATTGTAAAAATGTTGCAAAGGCTTCAAAATAAGCGCATGACAATGAGCAGCCCATGGGCAAGCACATATCGTAATAGAAATTTCCTTCTAAATAAATGCCTAACGAATTAAAGGACAAAGGAGAAACTGGTAATAAATGAAAGGCCGCTTTTATATCCGCTTTTGCCATTAACGCTCCCTGACCAAATTTTTTTATTTCTTCTATGGCTTCTTTGAAAGAACAATATGAAACAGATGCTAATTCATCCACTATTTCATCATTTAATGAAGAACCCTTGGGGAATGATGTATTAAACAATAAGAATTAGGTTCTTTCTTCGTAATAATACCCAGAGGAGATATACACAAGTTCGTAAATGGAGGGAAAGGAAAAGGGCCTGCCACGCATCCCTCCTTTATTTCGTTTTACAATTTTTCCTTTACTATATCTGAAATATTTTTTTTTACCAATTTTAAGTTGGGAACTGTCTCATAACCTTCCCCTGAAAATATTGGCAGTGGGAAACCGTTTATAAAACCATCAATAAGGAAATTAGCTTTCTCCTTGTCTGGGTACAAATGCAGCCATCTCAGCATTTTTGCTAAATTCACTGGAGTGTGTGCTTTTGTGAAAATTTTCTCTTGATGCATGTTGTGAATTGTTATTTCTTTTATAGCATTTAAGTACGGGGTGTGTTTCTGTGCAGTATGAGCATTCATGTTTATATTTGCATGAGTCAGGCCATTTGCATTGGCTTTCATTATAGGCATAACAAAAACCTCTTTTATACGGTGACACTACAGATGCCAATTGCGGTTTAGGAATTTTTGGTTTCTGTAGTGCCATCAAAATTTAACCACAACCAAGGGCGGACTGACCATTTGGATACTCAGGGCACTGCCTGAGGGCCCGGGGTCAGTAGGGGGCCCCATGAGATGCCCCTGGTACCTTTTACATAGGCTTTTTTGAGTTTGGGCAAGGACACAGGGGCCCCATGATCCCCTATTGCCCGGGGGCCCCATGAGTTGTCAGTCCGCCCCTGACCACAACCCTACATCCTTCATGCCCCACTTTTAAGAAGGGCATATTGCAATATTTTGCCTATATGACTCATCAGAAAAACCCTCCAAGTCCTCCCAGTATATGTTCAAGATCTTGGAAAAGCTGTGTAGATGGCAGCATGAATATTTATACAGCCCAGCCCAATCCCAGGGAGCCGG